CTAAACCCTAAACCCAAGCCCTAGCGCACCGAAGCTCTCGGGGCGTCATTGCCCGTAGCAGCCGACCTTAAGCCGGTGGGCTTTGGGTGGTGCGGGCTTCGGCTTACGGCGGAGGGAGCGTAGGGCTCAGGGTACACACTTTTGCCAGAGGACACTCTGCAAACTGTTAAAACTAGAGTCGAGCTTTCGTATTATTGCTGCGGCTGGCGACTACCACCACCGCCACCCCTGCTACCGCTGAAGTTGTTGCTACTCTGACTGATACTGCTACTTACACTACTGCCATCGCCTTGTCGCAACAACGACGCAAAGATTTCCATAGCAGTCATATTCTATACAAGGTTCTGGAAGATTTCCGTGACCGTTTTCAGGGCATCCTCAATATTCTTCCCAGTTCTCGCTGGCACTTGTCTTGTTTTATTGCTTTCGCTGCAGCTGTGCTGCTATGAACATCTCCGACGCGATCGAAAAAAAAACAAACAAGGCCGGGCGCACGACGAAGCACAGCCCATGCCGCAAACGTACCTGGCAAGGAGTAGAAACCCTGGCAAAACTGTAAGCCCGTGATAAATAAGCCCTCCCTGGTTGAAAGCCACATCAATAGGATCAAGCTTTTGGGGCCTGTGTTGGGAATGTTTAAGAATCATGATAGGATAGGCCCATCATCACATGAACTCTAATGGCACCGAAAAGTCGAAGAAAGCAGCAACCTTTGGGGTTGCGGCGGTTATCCTGCATCAAAGTCAATGGTAAGCACGTCATGCAGAAAGCTGTGCGGCGCACCGGATCGTTCTGAAACTCTGTCCTGCGCGCACACGCTGGCAGGATTCCACATGCGCCATAATCGCCCAGGCCAGTTGCCACACTCCCATAGTTTGAATTGCGCTATTTGGCTCCGATCCTCATACCCATCCGTCGAAGCACGTCGACGTCTCATGTTGTCAAGTGAAGCTGCTAGCATGACCAAGATGATCAAGGGACTCTTGGCAGGAACAGTAAACTCCAGATCTTGCAACATCAAAGTTGGGAAGGAGACTCGTAGGGGCAAGCTCCCAGTCCGTCTACCAAGGCTCGAACTTCAAACCTTCATAGATTCACAACCCTAGCCCGAAGCCTTAAACCCTAAAACGGATTCAGAGACATGCAGAGACTTCGGACTGCCGGCTGCAGCAGCTCGCTTGTAGCCCCTACATAAGAACAACTAGTCACGAACCACGAAGCACTCGTCAGTAACCAACGATCCGTTAACAGCAACCACGTCTAACAAGTCATGAACGGGGTCACCAAACACGAACCACCAACCACAAGTGAAGAATCGGTATAACTGTAGCAGAAAAATTGAACTTCCCATGTCTCATCACTGTCTCATCACAAGCACGACAGCACTCGCCCAGTGTGCTGTGGATTTGAAGACAATCCAACCCTTTTACATAAACACAACACAACGCTGTAAAGTTTGGAGCAACAATCCCTGCAGGAAGCACACTGGCAAGCCACTTGTCCTCACTCAGAGGCAAAACACGTCCGCTGGAGTTGCGCAAGATTCGTTTCCGGCAACAGCTGCGAGCCAAACATGCGGCATTCCGGATTAAACTACTCAGTGTGAAAAAGGAGGAGAACAAAGCATGCGAGACTTGAGGGAGAAGGCATCTAAAGCTTTCGTGCCCAACGACCCGGCACGAGGGACAACTCGCAAACAGTAGTGGGTACCGATCTGTTGATGAACCCAATCTCAAGCCTTAGGAAACGTGTCTTCCGGGTGTTTAAAGAATCGAAACAGAAGATCACGACACCGGGCATGGAAGCTTTGAGCCCTCTGTATTTAGATGGCCCCGGGGGTTTGTAGTGAAGGGGTTTTGGGTGCGGAATTGCCCAGAAGCTAGGTACCTACACATGGTGAGGTACTGTTCCTGCGAGGACCTTGTAGGACCAAAATATTGTAAACACAACACATGTAGCAACAGCGCCCCAACAAACATGTAGCTGGGCCTCGCCAGATTTAGGCTATGGTTGCAGACTTTGGTTTGGCGCCAAAGAAGGGTTTTCCAGAGGGACACCATCACGTCACAGGTTCGCTAGTCATGGGGCTTCTGCTACAAGGTTCTCAGAGCAGCTGGGACCGGAAGTGACTTTTAAGGCTCTGACGATCCATATTATGAGTCTTCTCCGCCCAACGACCATATCATGTAAGGCTTTCGGGCTGTCTTCAGCCCGGGGTAAGGTCTATGTCCACGAACATGATAAGAACAACAATCCTATCTAACCCACATTCCCGGCTATCATAAACCAGAAGACAACATCATCAGAGCTGTGGACCCTGAGGATAAGGATCAACATGATTCCATGCTTTGCCCTACTGTAGTTGCACCATATCTGGGGAAACGTTTAGTTTAATTGAAATTCTGCACATGCTCCATAACTCTACACACTAACAGTCCATATGGAGGCGTTTACCAGGATTCCCATGGATTGACATTGTAATGACCTAAAACGGGTGTGGTCTTCATGAAAGGCACGTTGGCTGTTGGGGGCCCACCGCTTTCATCGCTACTGCGTGTGCTCGCAGGCAGGTGCTGCCGTCCATGATCCCAAGCCCAGCAACATGATCTCTCACGAAAAAGTCCACGCGCCTGCCAGGATAAGCGAAGGTTTGGAGTCAAAACGGCTTACATATGGAATTCCACCAGCATGTAAAGTCTGGAAAGGGAGTTGAAAGGATCGGAAGAGACTTAATCTAGATGGCGAAGCCTCGGCGGTTTTCCGAGCCCTCCCAAGAAGTGCATATCTCTTGTCTGGTTTGCGGTTGTCTCGTGAGGCACTGGCATCCGGACAAGCGACATCATGACACAGAGGCGCACCTCTCTGCAGTATTTTGCCGCACGTTTGCCTGTATGCTCACTTATTTGGAGCCTGCAAACTCCACTAATCAGGGCATGCAGCTGCATCAATGTAAGGACCCTTC